AACTGGGTATACATTTTGCGGCCTCCTCTCAAAAGAAAAAAGCGGGTGTAGTTCTTTATATCAAGAAGGAATTGATACCAAAATTAATAGACACTGATGCAGAAGGAAGATTTGTATTTGTGGAAATCATTTTGAATGGGAAAAAATGTCTTCTTGTGGGATTATATGCACCAAACTTATATCAACAACAAAAGCAATTTTTTACTGTTTTGCATCAAAAAATAATGCAATTGGATTACAAATCGGTTATTATGATGGGAGACTGGAATGGTGTAATAGACCCAAAAAGAGATAAAAAGACTTCAGCTAAAACTTCAACACAAATTTAATTGCCTAAAAGTTTTTTTGCTTTACAGGAAGATTTTGAGTTAAGAGACATATGGCGTGAAAGGAATATGGGAGAAAGTGATTTCACTTTTTTTTTGGATAGGCATCAATCTTACTCCAGAATTGATTTTATTTTGATCACTAATGATTTGATGCCTAGGATTAAGAAGGTAAAGATTTTTCCTAAGATTTTGTCGGATCATAGTCCTGTTTGGATGGAGATCTTAACTGAGGGAACTAGTAGAAGGACTTGGAGATTGAATGAGAACTTATTGAATTATGAAACAAATGTGCAAAAATTAAAGGATTACTTAAAAGAATTTTTTGCGTTGAATATGAATAAAGGCACTCCTATATCGATGGTCTGGGATGCAAGCAAAGCTGTTATGAGGGGTGCCTTAATTTCAATGAATTCTGCATATAAGCGAAAACAGCAGCAAAATTATAAAGATATTGAGCAAGAGATAAAAATAAAAGAAAAAGCTTTCTCCCTAAATCCAATGGATAAGAGTTTAAAGGCATCTATCGTAATGCTGAAAGAACAGTATAATATGTTGCTCTCTGACCAAATTGCTACTAATCTGAAATACATGAAACATAATACATTTTGCAATGCAAATAAACCTGGAAGATGGTTAGCGTATCAATTGCGTAAGAAACAAAAACAAAGACTTATTGAGAAAATAAACTATAAGGGTAAAGAAGTTTTTCAACAAGATTTGATCAAAAGGGCCTTTACAGAATACTTTGCTAAATTATATGCCTCTGAGAATATACAATTAAATGAAATAGACAATTATTTACAACAAGCAAATTTGCCTTGTCTTTCTGAGGATCAAAAAGGACTGATGAACGGTATGATCACGGTGGAGGAGATTGCAGAGGCATTTAAACAACTGAAGGTTGGTAAGGCCCCTGGTACAGATGGGTTTACTGCAATTTATTATAAAAAATTATTGGAAGAAATGTTGGAACCCTTGAGATGTCTATTTAATGATGTCTTAATGGGGGGACAAATACCACCATCTTGGAGATGTGCATTTATTTCACTTA